GCAAGCCCGACTCCGTGCTTTGAGCATCTTGAGCCCTCCTTTTAAGGTTGCTAGGACTGTGTGCTCTAGTTTGGTGTTCGCTGGCTTTGCTTGGGCAGCGGGCATAGCGGCCCCGACCTCGAAAGACCTCAATGCCATCCGCCTGTCGATCCACCACGCTCTTCGGTCACGGATCACCGGGGAGACTCCGTGGGTGCTTTTTGCGGAGGTTCACGGCTGGCAGTGGGACCCTAAATGGCTCGTGCAGTGGCGCGCTTTGGGTGCCGTCTGGCGACACTTGAAAAACGCCCGCAGTGATGGCCCACTGCAGGCTGTCCTGCCGCACGCTGCAAGTACCCTTCTTGACCTAGGCTGGCAGATGGAACCCAACGGTGATGCTGTCTCCAGAGTTGATGATGTCGGACGGACGCGTCGGTTCTGTTTTGGATGGCAGAACATGAGTGTCTTGCGCGACTGGCTCGTGGAAGAGCACCGCAAGCGTGGCATTGCAAGTTGTGGGCGTGTGAAGTCTTCCTACCACCGAGGCGAGGCTGGCCTCGCTACTGGCCTAAACCTTGAAGCGCCGAGCTTGGGAGCACGCTTTGCGCTGGCGGGTCACAGGCTTCTTGGTCATAGTCAGTCGCTGGACGTCCGTCGTGCTGCTCTGGCCACGGGAGGCTCGGGATGGTACCACCGTCATCGCATCCCTACTCAGCGTTACGCGGAAGTCAAATGCTTGTGCACTCTCTTGTGGCCCTCGCGACCCCACCTCACGTGGAACTGCCCGAGGACAGCGGAGCATCGGCATGGCCTCCGGGGCCCCACGAACAGAGTCGAGGAGAGGCTGTTTGGTGCCCCCGTGCCTGAGTACCCCGCTGCCCCTGATGGCAATCAGGTCCCAGAGATGGTGCAGGCCATGAGGACCCACTTTTGCCTGGCCTTGACACAAGATACCGACAATCTCCTCGTCGCCACTGATGGCAGTCACCAGCACGGTGTGGGTGCCTGTGCTGTGGCGACGGAGAGTGCGCGTGGAACCTTTTCTGCGGGCGACGACGCCGAAGACCAGTCCCCTTTTCGCTTTGAGATGGTCGCGCTTAATGCCCTGTTGCAGGCTCTTCCGCGCGGACAGCTTTATCACAAATCCACCGTGACCATCCTGGTCGATTGTCAAAGTGCCCTGGATTCGGTCCAGTGCCCGGACAACAGCAAGCTTAAGTGTCTGGCTGAGCAGTCGGCTTCCTTGTTGCAGGCGCTGCGTCGGGACTACAAGGCAGTGCGCTTGGTGTGGGTTCCTTCCCATGACAAGCGTCTCGACTGGCAACCGCCTTTCGGTCTCGACGACCGCCGGTGCAGAGACCTCAACAACAAAGCAGACCGCGCAGCTAACCAAAGACGTGACTCACGAGCTCAAGCTGCCTCCCGCGTGGCGTGGCATCGCCGTCTTGACGAGGCTGAGCGCTGGGAAGTTGCTGCCATCTCGGCGGCAGCAGCATCGTCTGCCCTTCTGTATGAGCACCTTAAACCTGTGCCTCTGCCTACCCCTCC